CAGCTCCCATTTTAGAACTATTCTTACCCCAAGGTTACGTGAGTGGTAAATTAAGCATAGGTTGTGTTTCTCAGCAGCAGAGTATATAATTGAAAGGATAATATTATTAATAGTAACAAACTTCATAAATAACATTTTCTGTAATGTAATATGCACACACTTCCTCCTTTCTTTTTCATCTTTGTCTAAAATGAGTGTTAAAGTCCATGTTTCATCCCCAGCCAGTGAGCTGTCTGTAAGGACTCCTACCTGAAACTCTATCTTATCACTCACAACATTCATAATCAAATAAGAAACACAGGCCTTCCAAATAAACCTTTAAAACTGACACAGACACACACAGAGAGCAGAAATCCACTTCAGTCTCAGTTGTGTTGGATGAGGGGATGATAGCATCGCTCCCACCTGTCCTCACCACCTTTCTGCCAGAGATGACTGCACTCAGAACAGCTAGCAGAGTTGTTCATGTGAATGCTTTCTCACCTGTTTCGGCTGAACGTGGTCCTGTGAGGCTTGAGCAGCTAGAGCAGAAGGTATTTGCTGCTCAGTCTGAAATGGGTGAGTGAAAGCTCCCATGGGAGCTTCTCCTGCATGAAAAAGCAGCTGTAGATGATCTCTTCAGGTGGCACAGCTGTGCTCAAAGGAGAGCGTGTGTCCACAACAATAGCAAGGGTAGAAGAGGAAAGCTAGAAATTAGCAACCTGAATGCAACATCTTGTCTGTTTTCTTTTTGGACAAACTCTTCAGAACTATTTTCTTTTTGGACAAAGCCATGCCTGTAGTGGCTCTTTTGACATCCCTTCTAAAATCCCTCAGGCTGTCAGAGGGGCAGAGACAAGACCTTAGCTTATACACTCAGCCCCAGACTCAGGTAAAATGTTGTGTTCCTAATAAGGTATATACATGTGCATGAGGCCATTGGTTCATAAGGAAAATGAGCATTTAAGACTTGTTGGTAAGTCAATGTTACATGGTAAGTTTTTCAGTGCTTAAAACTGGGGGTGGGGAAGGGGGAGAAGAGGGGAATTGGGATGTAACCTATTCCTGTCCACCACTTGTTAATGAAAAAAAATCATGTGATGAGACCACTAAAAAATTTAGGTTTTTTCATCTCTAATTTGAAAGATTTTATGAAAAAAGTAAAGCATGTTCTCTGATATTCAGAGCCTCTCTAATATATTCACAGATGGTATCTGTGGAAAAAAACCCACAAAAGCCTTCAAATAGTGATTTTTTCTTTATTCCAAGATAGAAAAAAAAAAAAAGACTGAAACAGCATCAACAACAGAAAAAACTTTGGAAATGTTCAAAATACAGAGTCTTGCCACTGAAATCTGTTCTACTCTCATTTTGTACGCTTCAGCACACATATACATGCATATTCTTGCATTGATTTTAGACACAATCATAGCTGTTGTTGCTCCTAATTCATTGTGAATGGTGAAGTTCTAAAATTCCTCTGAAACATGAAAAGAAAAAAAATCCTTTTTTTTTTCATTTTTATTATTTTATTGTGTAAGGACTCCATGTCTTTGCAGTAAGAGGCTATTATAAATATATGTCACAGAGCAGATGTAGAAGTTTTCCAATTTCATTAACAAGTAGCAAGATGTGTGCATATACCTCCCATACAGAATGTCTTAGAAATATACCCTATTATGTCTAGTTAAGTCAACCTTGTGTCATTATTTCATATTAGTATATGTGACAGGATTGGTATACCCAGGAAAAATGCATCAGAACCATTAAGTGCCAGCCAGGAAAATGAAAAAAGGAATTCTGTGTTTTGAAATCTACATTAAATATCACGTCCTCAAATATTTTGAGAAGGCAAGGTTCTATTGGTTAAAAAAAAACAAAACCAAAAACAAACCAACAAAAAATTCTTTAAGGTTTAAGGAAGTGCTTTGAATAAAGCTCTAGTAAAACAGTGGGGACATAAGGCCAATTTTGGAGTGTATACTTAGTAGAAAAAGACAGGGAAAAGAGAATGAAAAGTCTACTGCATGAAAACTTAAATGCCTTGTTTTTTAACATACATTTTTTTAAAAGGACACATTTTATTTTTCACAAGAAAAGTTTTTGAAATAGGTCTAGATTTTTCAATTTCTTTCAGGTCTAATATCATTATACTATACTATTAATGGAAAGAATTCTGATGTATAGGACTGGACTCATTTCACTAAAGTATTAAGCACATGTTAAACAAAAGTGGAAAGAATGCCTGTTTTGGGAAGATCACATAGTTTCCACAGAACCCCAGAAATTTAAGGCCACAAGAAAACTCAAAACACCTCCAGTCAAAATCCAGTCAAAATTCGTACTAAAAATATATTAACTACATCACATTCTGCATGTTTCTTTTTATTGGTGAGCTGACTTTGATTGGACACCTGTTACCCACCAAGATGCTCTATCACTCTTCTCCATAGAAGGTTGGAGGGGGAGAAGATAAGATGGAAAAAATCCTCATGGGTCCATATAAAGGCAGCTTGATAAATTGGAAGCAAAGGAAAAAGAGATTTTTTTTTCCCTACTTCCCATCAGCTGGCAACGTCCGGCCACCTCTCAGGAAGCAGAGCTTCAGTACTTGCACCGGTTGCTCCAGAACACAAATGTCATAAATAATGAATGCCACCCTTTTGTCCTCCTTTTCTTAGCTATTATTGCTGAGCAGGTGCCATATGGTATGAAATACTCTTTTGTTCTGTTTGAGTCAGCTGTCTTGGCTGTGACCCCGCCCAACTTGTTGCCCATCCCCAGCCCAGCGGTGAGGAGGAGAATGTTGGAGAAAGAGTGTGAGGATGCCCAGGCAATGGCCATAAACACTGGCGTGGCAACAACACCTTTCCAGCTGCCAGTACAAAGAACAGCACTGTGAGGACTGCCATGGGAAAATAGACTCCATGTCAGCCAAACACAGTACACTTTAGAAATAAAACAGCCTTCAAATTTAGTCATAAGAGAAAACTCAAAGCAGGATTCCTCAAAGAAGCATACTACAGGGAAAATGAAGGACTCAAAATAGCTTCATGCATAGGCTCATTGATCTTGTAATTTTTATATCTGAACTGTAATTTCATCTCCTTCTAACATTTGATCTGGCTGGTGAAGATGAATCTGTGGCTTAGATCATCTCCAGCACGTATCATTCCCAATAATTTTCTTGTGTAGTTCCTGACACCTGTTTAGGAGGTGGCAGTGGCTTAGGAATGGTTTGAGACTCAGAAAGGTTTATGACTATACACATCTTCCATGTGTTCAGGCAACAGATCTGAGAATATTCCAATGCCCATTGCTGTGGAGGAAATAATGTTGCTACATGATATAAAGGCAGCGCTCAATGTCAAAACGTCTTGTGCTGTGAATTCTCACATCTCCATTGTGTTTAACTGAGCAGCCAAAAAGTACTTGTGCTGAGGATCAGGCTCCACATCTTTAGATTGCTGGTTAATAATATCCTATCAAGGAGATATAAGAGGGAATCAGAAAAGCTCATCAAAATGTTCAGTGACATGGCAGCAGATTTATGAGAAAAAAAGATGTCATTAGAAAGAAGGAAGGAAAAAAAAGAAAAGGTCATATTCATTAAGAAGGAAGGAAGACCTAAAGAAAGTACAGGAAATTATAGATCTACTTTGGAGTTTTGTTGTTAAGAGAGAGGAAGGATTTCTTAGCACATCTATTAAAATGAGGTACTGCTTCTCTTTATTTTACATTTTCAATCTTTTTATTATCATAGCAATACATCTTCTACTGCTTCCTTAAGCATTAGCAGCAGATTTATTTAATAAAACTGAGGACTGAGCATCACTGAAAATACTGTTTCCAATGGAATGCTCTCATGCTGTGATTGGTGAAGTGCTAAGTAATTTGCTTTTAATGCTAGCACATACCACTTAGCACTATATTTAAATGAATGATGAAAATCACTCATTTTTCATCCCCTTGCTTAACTGGTGCTCAGTGTAATCTATCTACTGTACTGGTAGCCTAGCGTCAGATATATTCTAATAGACCCTGCTCTCCAATCTACAACAAGCATTTTAATTTTTAATTCATAGTTATGTCTTTATCCTTTAATAGAACAGAACTACAGATGGGGAGTATGTTTTAGATAATAAGAGCACAGTAGGTACCCAGGGAAACTACACCACTAAAAGGATTCTTTATTTACACTTTTCAGTAATGACTACATATATATAGCTACACAGGAGAAAATTGTTGCAAAGGAGCACTGCATAGGCAGGCAATTACTATCCAGCTATAACTGAGCATTATGGATGATGCTGCTGATAAGAGCACTTCAGAAAACAATTTCAAAGCCAATGCCACGCACTGCACATTGACCAACAAACATGGGAACTCACAAGATGCAAGTAATTAAAATTAATAGGTAGGATGCTACATTAAAATAAAAAAATTAAGGGAAATTTAGTTAATATTTAAACATACTTGAAATTTATGAATTCATATTTTGCGGATATGTAATGTACAGAACTGAACATCCTAGATTAGATGAAAGTCAGTGGAGACATTTCAGTATAATTGGAGGAATAAAAATGATCAGTCAAGTCCTTCAGGCTGAACAAAGTTTCAGTACAAGATCCACGTTTTTCAGAAAAATCAACACAGTCCTATCAGAACTGAAGCTATGATGGTTCCACACATAAAGTCAGTCCCACCATCAGACTAAATTCTAGTACTGTATTACCAACACCAAAGTTCAAATCTCACAGAACAAGACTGGGATATCTTAACTCCGTGCTCAGAAAACCAGGGAATTTCCCAAAGGAATTTTTACCTCTATAGTCAGTCATGCTGATGGCAAAAGTGAGGTCAGGAACATGCACATAGTAAGATGTCACCCACAGCACATTGGTACTGTCACCCAGAAACTGCAATAGGTTACTGGGTGCTTTTCCAAAGTTATGTAGAAAAGTTTAAAGTGACAACAGGCAAAGCAAACATTAAAATGCAATTTTATTCCTGTTATGACAGAGAGAAGTAATCCAAGTAATATCTTATGCAATAAAAACCACAAAAATCACATCAATTATTGTAGATATTCAGAGGGCTTTTTACACCATTTCTGTCTGGGCATAAGTCATAAAATAACCACAGACATATGTACATGCACACAAATAAACTGGGGGAAAAAAATAAAACCAAGAAAAGAGGGGGAAACCAAACCACTATCTTGCATACCCAAATTAAAATTATGCTCAAGAGTGACATTTAAACCTTTAAGTTACTACCTAATGTAATTTAATGTTTATTCAGGTGGATGAGAACTATAGCTATTAAGAACTATGCTATTTAGCAACAATGCTCAAGATATTGGGTAAGATCTTAAAAAGATAAATGCATCTGAAAAACTTTTACCATAGCAGTGTGAACAAAGGGACACCAGAAAATCAGAAAAAACAGAAAAAAAATCCCCACCACAGCTAACAGATACAAGCAAAGCTGAAAAAACAGAAACAAGCAAACCTGAGAAATTTAGGAATGTCCCACAACTGGAAAGGGAAAAAAAAAGTCACATGAGATCATTATGTTTGCAGGATCCAATATGTGATCTGATCCCATAAGTTCACCCCACTGCACAGCTTGTTGAAGCCACAGAAGAGCTACAAATGGGGCATTCACAGGACAACACTGCATGGGCAGAGATGTGGCCATCAGAAATGTAGGTCCTATCAGACAGTAGGCAATACCATGGATGTGGATCACGATGTACACAACTCCATGGACCATGTAGTGCTGCAGGAACTAGCTCTTGTCAGAGACAACATGATTTCCTGAAGATGAGAAAAAATGATGTAGAGAAAGACATGATGCAAATACACCAACAATCCCCCAATAAAAAGGGTACAGGAGCAAAAGCACATACATTAAATTTACCAGGTTTCCTTAAGAAAATGTGTCTTTTGTGCTCATGTGAACTTTCCAAGGAAAGCAACTTGTTAGCAAACAAGATTACTGTGAATTTAAAAGTAACACAAGGTGCTTTTAACTGAATTTTACTCCTTAGAGGGCATTGGAAAACTGACAGTGATAGGACTCAGCTGAGTGCAGAGATCTTGTGGAGCCAGCTACAACGAGCTTTGATAAGCAACAAGAGGAAATTGATATCTCATAATAGCAGTGATGCCTAAGGACACCCAGAGTGTTCCATCAAACACCCTGATACTACCTTAGGTAAGGAGCAACTTCACTGCAAACTTGACATAGATGTTCCACTCTGCATGTATTTCTCTAGGCACTGTGAGGGGGCTAGTGGCTCTCAGTACACAGTGGAAAACACAATAAAAGTCTGAGATGGGCTTTTGCACTTAGACCAAAATGTCTGGACACATACCTAAATATATATACAATAACTGATTGAAGCCTACTCCCAGCATAATTCAAATGCTGGTCCTTGCCTAAGTTAGAACGCTCTCGACTGTGTTACTGTACTGAGATTCTGAGAGGAAAGCATGACAGTGTTTGATTAAAGGACAGCACTTCAGTCCTCAGGATTCTTGCAACAGCTGATGAAACTACCCAGGGATGAAGACACATTGGAAAACACAACCGTGAAATTTCAGCTGTCACTGATCACACTCTAACTTTCCCAAAAGAAACTGTTATAAAATTATTTGCTTTTTTTCTATCCCTCCCATCATTTTATGCTTAGGTATCAGGACTGTTTTTCATCTAGGTATAGAGACTGAAAATAATACCTTTCCACCTTGCTGTACTCTTTTTCCTCTCTCTCAGCTTGATACATGTAGATGTAGGCAACACACTGTTCTTTTCCCTTATATGCTCCTGGTCTGTGCTCACTTTACACAGAAGACTTTCCTCACTAACATCACCAAATGCCTGAAAAACAGAACAGACAAAACCAACATATTATTATAGCAGCATTCAGTGAAATATCAGAGGGAACATAGATGACTTTGATTACCCTTCCCCACCCCTCTCTTCTTGCTTTCAAAATATCACAGCTTAGAAGTTTTGTGTGTGTGAAATTTTATTCTGTCATACTAATAACCCAGCTTTGCAGCAGCTTACAGTTTAGCTTTCATGCTTCAGTTCCACTCCTGGGCTTATAACAATTTTTCTAACAGTTCTGCCAAAATATTCTAAAGTAAAACTTACTGTAAATGTATTCACTAATACAGATAGAGCAGTGAGATTAACAATTTAAACACATGTGAAATGCGAATTCACCTAATTTTTCTCACTCTAAATGCTTTAGTAAAACAGTGGAATAGGGATTTTTACGCCCATTGCTTTCCATAATTTATTCTTATGATGTTCTTGACACACGGAGAAGATTTGAGTGAATAAAGAATATACACTCAAAGAAGGAAATCATGGCCATGAAGAGGAGATGTTATTGGACTGGAAATTGGTTATGAAGGCAAGGCACTGCATCAGATTCAGCTCAGTTCATTAGTAGTTACCACATCACATGTCAGATCCTCAGCTTGTGCCATGTGGGTGGCATTTTGCACAAGAGTGCCCTGACTCCAATTGTTTTCATGTTTTGGAATGCCCATATACAAGAAATTCTGCTCTGATGAATTTGAGCAGAAATCAAATTTCAGATGCTGAGAAGTAACTGAGCTCAGATCTGTCTAGATGCTGTTACACAAATGTTAGCTTGAAAAAGCAGGTTGATCCAGTAATACAGTAATATTTTAAAGCATTTTGCTATTCTCAATCTAGTTTAGCACTGCTATAATAAATTTCCAAATGCAGGTATGTGTAAGGGAAAAATCTCTAATATCTATTGTATTTTTTTGCATATTCTTATTTTCTGTCTGTTGATGCATCTTACAGTCTGGGTTGTACTTCTGGGTTTGATACACTGTGAGGGTAGGAAGTGCTGCTACATCAGGAACAGAGAGAAACAGGCAATGTAGTAAATATTCACCACCTCACATGAAAAGTTGAGACTAAATTTTGGAGTGGTCATGTGCATCCTACATCCTAGGCAAGTTTCTCTGTACCAGGCTGTTCTTTCTTCTCACTTCCATACCACTAACACAGAACAGCTGCTACTTTATTTTTAGTTTTATTCTTTCAAACCAAGAGATAGTCCAGTTTTAGTTGGGTTGTCCAAAGCCATTTCTCTCATGGCACAAATAATCACCAGGGTGGGTAAAAAAGAGATACAATGTCACAGTAGGACTTCATAGAAACATTTTTGCATTATATAAAGTTAAGAAGACAGAAGACATAAAGGGGGCCTACAGCATCAATGAGCTAACAGAAATATTTTTTCAGCTGCAATAATCTGAGAAAAATATGTGGAAATATCATCAGTGTATACCTGGAGTTGCAACCCTCATTCCCCAGAAGCTGGAACACTAATTTCATTTTATAGAATCATTTGGGTAGATTTGGAAAAGACCTTTAAGATTACTGAGTACAGCCATAAGCCTAATTCTGCCAAGTCCATCACTACACCACGTTCTTGAGTGCCACATCCACAGGTCTTTTAAATGCCTTCAGGGATGGTGATACACCCTCTTTTCTGGGCAGCCTTTTACAATGCTTGAAAAGTCTTTCAGGCTGTCAAGAAAATTTTCCTAATATCTAATTGATTTCTTCTTGTCCTGTTGCTTGTTACCTGGCTACAACCTCCTTTCAAGCAGTTGTAGAATGATAAGATCACCCCTTTTCTCCTATTCTCCAGGCTACACAACCCCAGCTCCCTCCTCTGCTCTCCATAAGACTTGTTTCTATGCAAAAAAAAGAGAAGATACAGGGGATATTTAGAGTTCACTGGAAAAGCCTTTCCTTTGGTGCAAGAGCTCTTCCAACCTGATCATTCACACACCCAGCATGACTGAAGCAACAGGAACCCTTTGCTACAATTAAGGTGCTATCATTTACTTGCGTATTGAATTTAAATTGAAGCTTGTAAAGATATGTCAGATTTTTAAACTTGATCAGATGTTGTGCAGAATTATGTTCTTAAATTAAAGTCCAAGTTGTTGTTTCTGAGAGTGACTTAATAACAGTAACTTTATGGTTAATCAACCATGTAGTAAAGTTCACCATGCACTTATTGCAGTGTAATTACAAAGTGAGCAAAAATATAATTGATGCATTTTGTCAATCTGTGTAGCTGCAAGGTACTTTTTCAAAGGTTATTTTTTTATTCAGATAAAGTAAGTAATGCTGTTCTGGCAATTATCCTTTGACTTCAGAGATTTTACTGCTGATTCAAGTAAAACTGATAGATGAATAAAGATTATAAGTGTTTAAAAGTACAAAATACCTTCTGTAACAATCAGTGGCTCTGCCCTTTCAGTATAAAATCATTCTGAAAATCACTGAAAATATAGCAAATCTTAGTGTTTAAGGTGGGTTGACATGGAAAGATGTATCTCTTAATACAAAATAACTCTTTTAAAATACCCCTTAATTATCATCACTGCTGTTTGTTATATAACACAAGTAGAGAGCTGTGGCAGTATTTTTCCCTTGAGCACTGGCTCAGACTGAATGGGTACGCTTTAACTTGCTTCCATTCCTTCTGCAAACAACTGCAGGAAAGAGTTCTAACTCCTCAGGACCCCAAGAAAAAAAGAAATTAAAATTTCCATGAACATAACATATTTGTGTATGTGTTGATTCGGGATGTAACCCTTGCTTCTCACCCCACATTCTCTGCAAGCAAAAAAGAAGCCAGTATGATTTAAATTTGAACATTCGTATACAGAACAAAGCTATAATGGTTAGTTATGGTATTTCAGTAATTTTTTGGTTATCTGAAACCCAGTGAGTCCTGCTGAAAATGTTCATCCCTGGACCTGTCTCATTCCTTTCCTGGTCCTCTTATCAGAGCACAGACAGCACCATAGATAAGAAGGACATGGCCACTTGAAGGAAAGAAATCTTCTTCCACATGACTCTGTGACTTTCTGGGGTACAGGGTATATAAAATCTGAGAACACTAGGGAGGGTAGAAATGGCCACATGCTGCAAGGCTGTCCCCTGCATTTCCATCCTGCAAAATAGTCTTGACTGCAGATGATAACAGATTCCAAATTAACAGATATAGCTTCCATTTAAAACTATACCACAATTTACTGAAAAAGAAGCAAGGAACCAATCTTGTACCTGACAAAACAGCCTGGAACAGAAGATATGAAGAAATAACTTTTGCTCAGCTGAGACACACTGTGCTCAACCACATCATCTGCAGCAGAGGGATTGGCTTACCCACTGCAAGGGCAAGGAGCAACAGACTGGGTCCACTTCAGGACAGGGTTTACATGTCACATGTGAGATGAGGTGCATCAATTTAAGAATAAAGCATACAAGCACAAGATTTCTCCAGGAAACCTCTTTTCCTTGTTCTCATCTTTTCAGTGGGATGGAAAGTGCTGCTTGGACAACTAATTTCTTTCTTAAGCTGATTATCTCTAATTGAATTATAAATTAAAGGAGAAATATATACTGTAAACAATAACTTAAAACAGTCTGGTTTACTTCTTATTTGAAGTGAAATTTGCTATACTGCCATGACCCTCAACAAAAGGACTGTAAGTCTGCAGGCTGTAGTGATCTGATTGCCTATGTCCATGGGAGTATCCCTTAGCTGAGTAAAGTGTTTGATTCCCAACTGAACCTCAATGCATGTTGAGAGAGATCATTCTCCCACTGAATGCAGTTGCATTTATAGGTATATTTTGTTTATATTATGTTTTTAATGGGACAAGATTAAGTCTCAGAAGTAGGCAAGCAGCATGTGGTAAAGCCTGTTCAGCCCACCAGTATGTACATACCTGCATGCATTAATCACTCTTCTGTGGGACAAACCTTTCCTGTTAATCCCTGATTTTATAGGGATTCCCAGGAAATCAACTCATGGTTGGTTTGAGCTGGCCATGTTTGTGGATGACCTGACATGATGCTGCTGAAGCCAGCCAAAGTGGGTCAGTTTACACCTGTGGCCAGCCTCTCCCCTGGCCAAAACCTCCTCACCCCCTCCCCACAGCTGACCCAGTGTACAGAAAAGCCAGATCTGTGCTGTCCCCTCCCAGTGTCTGCTGAGATGAAGTCATGAGGTAGGGTGCCAACCTCAGATACTGAGCTGGAGAGATCCTCTCTCTTTCTCTCCTCCATAAATCTTTAGTGACCATTTTTCTCCATGAAAACAGCATGTGGGAATCTTGCAGTAAACATGGCAAATTTGCTCCTTTAATCAAATTTGGGCCAGGAAAATCTGCACTCACATCTATGCATAAATTGCGCTGGAGTCAACTGCATGGTTTATGCACACACAGGAAAAAATAGGGCCCAATATTCATAGTAACACTGGGTATAAAAAAAAATAAAGAGTTTGTGGAATTAAGAATAATACATGAGGCAATTTGTTGATTTGCCCAGGGAATATAGGAGAGCAACAAATGTGTAGATTATTCTAAGGTTGTTTTTTAGTGTCATTATCAGATCCAAGAACTGTATATAAAAGCATGCGGTCCTTCACATGCTGAAAGTATAGTTTGCTCAAACAATTGTAAAATATTCAGTATTCTTAAGATTAAATATCTGAATATTGCTTCTGAAGGAACAGCTGTCAGCTTAAATCTAAAGTCTAGTTTGTTTACTGCCTGTATTTTATATCTGTTAGAAAATGACACCAAATGGCAATAAAATTGTTGTAAGTATTCTACTGGGGACTATAAATGCCCTTTGGTTACAGTGTACATATCTTTATACATAATTCCAGTATATTTTCCCTAGAATTATGTTAAATATGTAAAAAGCCTTTTCTCATAAAGGTAAAAATGCTACATGTTTCCAAGCTGTAATTTAGCATTAGTGTCAAGATTGCTTCAGAAAATAAGCTACGGTTACTGTTTCATTCTTTTTAAGTGTCACTCAGCATACCATATCTGATCTTGTATTCAAAATAAACTTATATGATTTTATTCACTTTTCCAGAAGTGCAGGAGGGTTTAGACATAATTTATAGCATATGGATTGATGTAAATAGCTTAAACTAAGTAATTGGCTAGTCACCTACGCTGTCTTATTCTATTACTGCCAGGTACTTTTTAAGTAATTAGGGAAAACAGACCTCTTTTATCCAGTAAGTTTAAATTGGATGAATCCTTGACATTTGTGAAGGCTTATTTGATAGATAAAATCATACTACACAAAAACTTTCTCTACAATACTGAGGTTTACTAGGCCTATAATAAGAAACTGATTTTTTGTTGAGTTAAAGTGACTTATCTTTGCCCTTTTAATAGGAAATCAACTCCAGTCAGCAAAAGTCGAGATAAAAATCACTAAGTTGGTGTTATCACCATGTAGACAGCAAACACATACCACTATCATTAACTTTTCTGCTCATGGATTTCAAATTAGTTTAAAATGTTAAAATTCAATAATTTCCTTTATATTACAATAACATCAGATTAATGAATACCAAAAAGCAGGAAAAGTGATTTACTTTGGGAAGGTCATTCCTTGGTTAGCCAACACCTAAATTGAATTACTATAAAGGGGAAATATATTATAGGTAAAAAGGAAAATGGTTTTTACTGCACTTGAATTCTTTGAGTTTTACAATGCTTATGATAAAAAGATTGCACCTACAAGTTTAACCTCTATAATTTTTACATTGTACATTTTAAAAAAAGAATCTTTTTATTTAATATTTCTAGGGCTATTTATACATGTCACCTTGTACTTAATGTTCCTTTTAAAACAGTTAGTTTTACCTCATCCCTATAAAACCTATAAAATTACTTTTCATACCAGACATGAAATTTAAAGTTATAAAAAAAATAAAATAAAATAAAGGTAATTACTATCAAAGTGAGTTTGGGCTCCTTGGATAAAATTACCTTCACATTGAAGTGATTTGATGAATTAGGGCTATGAGAAAATCTTTCTTTCACTGAAATATAAAAGAGCAAGATGAGGCTGTAAATATGAAGTGAATTCCTTATGAGCATCCAAGGACTTCACAGCAAGATTATGCAAAATTCCTCTTATGCCTGTCAAAGAATATCTTTGAATTACAGATACAGAAACATCTGAAGTTAAAGTCACCAAGAGCTGAACACATGAATCTGAGGTAGAATTTGGCCTGGTGATTTCAGTGCTGTTCTCATGTTCCTGTGTTTGGCAAAACATTGCCCCAGATGTGGTCAGCTTGCACACACTCCTTAGCTGAATGCTAAGAATCTACTGCTTATGCTGGGGGTGCCCTCTGAACAATGCCTATATCTACACATGATTTTTTAAAGTTATTATAATTCCTCTGTTTTCTGCCAAAATGCTCATTTCTTCCTATTAAACATATTATTTTTGAAGAGCAGCCACCGAAACCAACACCCATCATGCTGTAAATGGCACAAAGTATTAAAAATCTGATGGACAGATCTTAGTCCCCAGATGACTGAATTCATGAGGTTCCACTGTAGCATTTAGGAATAAGTGTTATGGAAAGTCAGTCTTGTCATTTTGCTATCTTCAGAGTTACATGTCTGCAGAGTTTCTTAATAAAAGTGAACAAACAAAAATATACACTGAAATAATTACATTTTCACCTTTGGTATGTTACTGTAATGAAAAGGAGGATTGTTTCACAGGAAGAAAGTGCATGTAACCCCTAGTTCCTAGACGTTGTTGAATTACTCCTTGCATTTTGCAGCTGTACAAGAGCACTAGCCCATCCAGAATAACAAAATAAGTGAAAATTGATTTTTTTTCTTACTCTGTGGACTCTGCAGACCAGGTAGAAGTGCGTACAAAGGTAGGACATGTCACAATTGCAACAGACCACCCCTGTTCTTACAGGTTGTGTTCCTACAGTCCCAAAGCAATGCTCCATACAAATATCTTGTCTCTGGTGAGGAGAAAGAGGTTTGCTGATCACAAAGAAAGAAGACAGGCAGCTGTAATTTCTATGACAGGGAGAGAGAATAGATAACTCTCTGCCCTCGCCAATGTGGAAGAAAAGTCTTCCCTCCTTCACCACTGCTGGAAAGGTGAGAAGAGGAATGAAAAGCAAAATGAGAACTCATCTTGTTTCTTTTGGTGAGGTGTTGTACCCATTCCAGAATAAAATGGTTAAGATTATGAAATTATATTATATAGGTAAACTTCTGCTAAAGATAAATCTTACTTTTACCAATGGGTTATCCAATGGAAGCTGATTAAATTTAGAATAAGAGGAGATTTTTGACCAAATAGGCTATAAAGATCCAGAAAAATCTTTCCATTGAGTCACCAGGATCAAAATACCTAAAGGAGACTAGGATTAGGTAAACTAAATAACCTGTCTTTAGATAGTCTAGATAGTCGAACTGAAAATGCTTATACACAGCAAGTTGTCAACAGAGGGAGCAAACTGAAAAGATAATTCCAATAACTTGCCCGGGTGCCTTTCATCTCCTACACTCTTAAAAACTATGTATAACATTGCAATGCACCCTTCAGCTCCAAAACACTTTTCTAACCCCCCTCAAGTACCCCTGCTTGTCTAGCTGCAGCAAAGGGGAAAAAAGAAATGTTCCTGAGGGGTGACAACAGCAGCAAGAGGTAAAGCTCAGGTGTATTTTTCCCCATGGCAGCAAACTTCTCACTTTTCAGTGTATAGTTTTAAAATTCATTAAATAAACCTAATTTGGAACTGAAGTAGAAAGCCCTGACCTATAAAACACACAAATGTATAATTACATCTGTTATCAGCTAAATGTAAGATCTGTATATGGGCCTTACTGCAATTATTAGTTAAGCACATTTCTTACATGTAATTGCATTTAGATCTACAAGTAAAAATGTCGTAAAGCATTTGATCTCCTAAATTAGATGTGCAGTTTTCAAGACAATGAGGCAGGACTCAGTCATGGATTTTAGGAATAGGCTATGCTATGATCTGGAGTGGGAAACTCTAGAAAAGTAGCTTGAGCCATCCTTACTGTACACTTTGTGGATGCTGGAAGCTTCTCAAAAGCTCACCTGGGAAGACAAAACTACATTGTATGAGAACATATTTCTTCTCTCTCAGAAGTACAGAACAGATTAATGAGCTGAAATAGTGCACTGGGTTAAGATTGCCTTGGGTGTTCAAAGACCCTCCTTCCAACGTCTGGTAGAAGCTGAATGAAACCTCACCACTGAAAAGCTGAAAAGAACTTAACTGGGAAAAACCATTCTGCAAAAACCTACATTTGTAACAGGCAGAAAGTAGGAGCTGGGCTGCCTGATTGACATCCAACATGGAAAAGGTGTTTTAGCAAAAGTCTAGGCAATTATAAACATGAGGAGTTTCTTCACCAGACTCGGGCATGGACCTGGATTTGCCAGTTTCTTTGTTCCAGTAATTAGGTTCTACTTCATGTAGGCCACATGCCTTCTCTTGTTTTCTTTGGCCAGCTTGAAGACTCCAGTGTCTTCACTCTGGTGAATCACAAGTTCCCCAGGCAGAAAATTATGTTTGAAATCCTTGAGGACAGTTTCCTTTAAATTAAATTTTCTTTAAAAAGCCAAGTAGGGCAAAGACATTAAGAATATAATCTTTAATGAAGAAAACAACCTTGAAACATTAACCAAAGGAGCAGAAGCAATGTTTGCCTCATGCTGGAAAGCTGTACTTGAACCTTCACCTTAGAAGTGTGCAGGTGAAAACATTGTGTTTCATCATCATTTGTGTCAGTTTTGGTAAAAAGATCTCCATTTTGAAGCTCACACTTCTTCTCTGGGTAGACAAAGTAATATTCTTTGACTCTACTTTCTCTTAAATGCCAATCTTTTTTTAAGAGTCTCTCAACACAAAACCAAAGGCAAAAAGGAAATGTTCTTCTTCAAAGCACTTAGAACAAAAATGGCAAAGCAATGAACAAGAGGCAGCCCACGAAACAAGTAACGGGTGATACGTCTCTTTAATAACATCCTGTATTGCATTTTAGAGCACAAGCTGCTGAAACGCTGACAACATCCAAGATTCAATCTAAAACATGCAAGATGCCAGTAAGGGATCTAACTGTGCCTTAGCTCTGAGTACAAACGAAGTGAATGACCATACTTGTAGTAATAGCTGTCCATTAAATGTGCACAGTACTTACCGTGTATATTTATATATGTATACATAATAATCCCTGTACGGAACGACCTTATGTGGTTCTAAAGTGATATATATTTATAAATAAACTCTATGTGGGTAGTTTCAATGTATATCTTACATAATTGCCTTCAAATGGCTCTATAAACAACCCGAAATTGCTACTTTGCGCTGCAAAAGCGTTAACTCATTGATCATACACCACTGTTTAGGAGTGAGGTCTTCCTATGGAAGCTCACAGTGCGTATTTCGGGCCGGGTCAGGCACGGCCTATTTTCCTCTTTTGACTGTGACCTAGTTCCGAAATGCACCCCTTTGCCTCCAAAATCTGTCAGCGAGGCGCCTGCTCGGACTCACCTCAATGATAGCCCCATCAGGCAGCCTGAGGAAGTGCCTGTAGAGCTCCTGGAAGCCGCTGAGGTGAAGCGTGTAGACACAGATGTGAGCAGTGGTGCTGCCTTCCCAGCTGGCTGCGGCGTCGGGGATGGCATCCTGGCGCTGGAGGTCACAGCTGGAGACACCAGGCTGGTCCTTCCAGATGTAATCAGACACTGCCACCTAGTGAAACACAGCCCCCCCCGCCCCCCGGACACACACACNCCCCGGACACACACACACACACACAGGCCCCCCGCCCCCCACCAAAGGAACATATTTAATTAACTTCTGGCAAGAGCTTAACCGATTTAAAATGATTTTACAATAAATCTGCAAAGCCTCTACCATATGCAGTGCTTGCACACAGTTCTCTACTACATATTTTTTTATGACATAGATCTAAATAGAGGAGATAGACAAATCCCTAGTGTATATTCTATAAAGTTAATTCTGCACAGATGAAGCTGTAATTGACTCCCGTATTAACCAAAAGTAGGGAGATCAAGCAGGGTAGGTTAAACAATAAAATGGCAATGCTGATTAAAAAAAAAAAAAAAAGCTTCCCAAGAATTTTGTGAGCGAGTATTTGTATTTCTCTCTCTTTGAGAAGCCTTTGCTCCTGTACCCACAAGCACTTTTTAGTCTCTGATCTCTGTATAATATTAAAATAACCTTGTGCTGTTAACTGAATTGTAGATGAGGCACAGTAAATTAGGTGTATTTTAGGGCATGGTGTAAAGCTAGTTTATTAACAGTTACCTAGCTTCCTAGTTTGCTCTGAACATGTTTGCTTTGGTAGGTTTTGTATCCCCCTACATCAGTCAGAATTTCCATTTAGCCTTTTTCATGTTAATTCTTTACACAGGCTGAGCAAAATTCAAAACTTCAGATGGATCATGGCACAAGGCTTAAATACTCTTTTTCCTTAACTAGAAAGATGATGAGAAGCATTGTTTTTATACTGCCCCTGAAGTGCAAGCATGAGCTTTTTAACCCTCCACTTTTGTAAGACCTTTTCGTCACTCATTTTCTCCCACGAGATGCTACTCCTGTTTGGGGAAGGAAGAGACTGGTGTTATTTGTACATCCTTACAATACATCAGCATGCTCTTCCCAAACACTTCTATTTAATGCAGACAAAACACCTCTTTTGCTGGCCTAGCATGTGCTTTTTCTTTCAAGAATGTGTATTACACCAGCAGAAATTATTGGAACTTACTGACAAAGCTAGTTAAAGAAAAGCTTTAATTCATTTAAGATAAGTACATGAAAACCTTCTTCTTCATTGGTCTACTTTTTGCTGAAATGAAGAGCTCAGATTCTTACAAGATATCTCAAAAAACAGATACAAATTTTTCACCTCGCTTGGGAAAAATTAGATTTAACTGTTTGCTTGTGTTCCAGTTCACATTTCCTCAGCTGTTCTTATGCATTACAAGGAATCCCATAACCAGCACAGTGTGCCAATGCCACAATCCTGACGTGCATGCTGCTATTATGAGCCACTGCCTTAGGAAAGGATTTGTTTTAGGTGAATTAAGAAAGCAAGATCACATACAGAAAATTATCTCTAACTATTTTCCAGGAATGACAGAACAATGGGATACTTTATTTTAGCACTAGCTTCCATTTTCATCAGCCCTAATAATTTTTTTTTTACATTTTAAAACAAGGAAAGGTCATCTGAAATTAAAGTAAAATAGGGACAGAATTTTCCACACCAAAGTCTCTGAGGTTCAAAGGCTTTCATTCAGGAAAACATGTTAGGAACATACAGCAGCCATAAGGACAGGACAAGCCCTGCATTTTCTCCTGTTTACCACACAATTTGGTGTTTTGCACACATTTTACACGCCTGCATGACACAGTGCTCCATATGAATTAATGTGGCCAGTGGTCTCAAGAAAGCAGGAAGGCAACTTCCATCGGTACAGTGCTGGCCTGAGCACAGACAAACAGCTGCAAGAGCTGCCACACCACAGCCCCTGCAATGGTTACTTTCCTCTCTCATCCAGTGTCTCACTACCAGAATTTCTAACTTGTCCAATTCAAGAGCACCAAGGCTTTCCTGACCTTGTGTCTCCTTCCTGATCTATGGCTTCAGGAAAGATAAATGGTTGAGAGGCCCAGCTCAGAAACTCTCTTCAGAAAACACAACAAACAGGATGATCTCTGTCGTGATCCTCCTTTTACGCTAGATGAATTTTTACCTGCATTGCTAGCTTCCTTTATCAAAGTGTTTTCTTCCCTCCTGAATCAGTCCCTCACTTTCCTCTGCTTCTCGTCTGACCTTTATCTTGCCTCACTTTCCCTGAATCTGCTAGTTCTTCTCGTGTTCATCCCTATCAACCAGCAAAGGGCTTATTTACTGTGTGTTTTGCAAGTCATGGATACGAACACCACATCCTTCTCTGCAGCTCTGTTTTGCCCATTTGAGCTGTGAGCTCTGGGGACAAAAATATGCATGCTGTACTCGCTCAGCACAGGGGAGAGCATGGACCTTCCACTACTTTCACACAAATAAATTACCACCTATTTTTTCAATCAGTGCCAGATCTGAGTGTATTTACAAATACAATTCCCGTGTGGAAGCCAAAGCCATGGCTCACCAAAGCCACTCAAACCTTTGTGCCTGAGCAAACCTGCACTTTGCCAGGACAAAGACCTTCTTTGGAAGTTCTTGACTCTGGGTGCCATTCCCAGGACACCACATCCATGTGGGACCAGGTATGGCATCAGAAGTCTCTGTCTTCCTCCCCAAGAACAGACGGCTCTGCAGGATAACGGGAGTACACAGATGCATCTGATCTGTTGTCACATTTCAGATCTGGTGAACAGCCTCTGAGGACACTGATGTGACTAGCCAAGAGAACATGAGAACATGATGATATTGTTCTGCATGTCCTCCTCCCATCCCCATTACACACTCCCCCATATAAAAAAAAATAAAAATAAAAAAATTATAAATAACACCAATTGATCATCTGACAACTGAAAGAGAAAAGGCACCATGAAAACTGATGGTGTTGTGGTGAGTTGCATAGCCTTGGTCTGGGGCAGACACTAGAAAGGAAGGAAAGAGGACTCTTTGCTGGAACATTACTCATTAACTCTTCCCCAAAGTCACCTGGTAGTGCGAGTTTGCCTGAAGGCAGACTCTTCAATTTGTGGAGGGATATAACATTTGAATACCGCTTCCAGGAAGGGGGAGCAGCTCTGTTTGTGGCTGTGGATTTAGAGACTCCAGTGCAGAGGGACCTTTCCATTCCCTCAGAATGCTAGCACCATCTGAAACTATTTGGCAGACAGATGTCCACTGCCTTGAAACTCTCAAAACACATTTCTGTGAAGTGATAGGTCACTAGAGAGCTGCTGTGGCCTACATAACCTGAAGTAAGCTCCAAAAGTAAACTCTACTGTCATCTGAAATTTCTATCATTAAGTTAATCAAAAATGTCCATTCATTTCTACAGGAATACAATATGAGTTAATAAATCCACTGAGACAGGCTAGTCAAGAGACTGTGCATATAGGACATGTCAGAGAAACTGAAGTTAGCAATGATCTAGATTCACAAGGGCTGACAAGAAACCACAAAATGCCAGAGCAGTGTACAGTAATCCTTAAATGAAATTCATCTTTCAGCAGAAAAACACATTAAGGATGGTAATTCAATGATAAAAGAGGCAGGCCAGAACAGGTTCAAATGCTGAATATTTCACAACATAACTTAATTAAAGCGGGACTGTGAGGCTGTTAATCGCTTTATAATAGTTCAGCTTGAAATGAGGTCTGATGTGAGTGCCCTTATGGTTTATTTGTTTATATTATTATAATCATAAAATGTTACATCGACCTAATGCAAATGTACAGTTTTCACTGGCCTTTATTATGTTGGCAGGTTTTTTTTCTCCTTGTGGTCCTCCTATTTTTGTACAAGTATGAGAAGGGAAGAGCTGGGAGGAAGGGTCATGAATTTAGGTCAGATCAGATGATTCAGTAAGTCTCATGTGGGTTTAAGTCTTATTAATAATTTTAATACATTCTTCCTTGACAACAATGATTTCAATCACTGCTTCTTTAACGTGCACGGTGACGTAAAAATACACAGGTTTTTAAAAGAGTAGAACATGTTTCTCCTACAAAAAAGGTAAATTATGTCAACCTTTTGGAAATTACAGTGCATGACCTAGAAAAAAGACAAAAATATATTTGTGAGTAAAAATACAAATGTATTTTGTTGTATAAATGTATTATGCCACACCAAGTGTAGAAAAATATGTATTGAGGTAGAATACATTTTAAACACAAATATATTGATAAATGTATATTTACAAATACATTACACAACTGAGGCACAGCCAATTAATATTATAATTCCTAGGTCAGGGTACATAAAATACCAAGCTAGAGTGTAAAGGAACTACGATGTTTTCTATTGTTTGACAGCTTTTGTGAAAGAAGAAAGGAAAGAATATTTCCTCAGATTTTCTGAGCCATAGTGGGAAGGCGAGGAAGACTGACTTCTAGTGTCTTAAAAAAAAGACATCAGCAAGAAAAAAGTTCTTTTAAAACAGTTGAGAAATATACATGTATGTCCAAACACTTGATTATGACTGGTACTGATTCTTAATTGTTTGCAGCAGCATTATTATTAGCAATCTCATGTGTATAAATTCCAAGCTCGTGCATTGCAAAATGTATAAAAAAACCTGTTTGAAAACAGCATTCAAAGAAAATGCGTAAAATGAGTAAAATGGAACAAATTGACCAGTTGAGAACGTGTGGAACTGAATGCTGGTCATGACAAATAATTAGCAAAAGTTACAAGCTGTTAATTTTAGTCAAAAGGGCAAAAAAGTGTTTAAATGTTAGGGAAAAAAAGGACATCAAAAGTGGAGGGTGCTGTATTTACTTGAAGTAACTTTTATAAACATGGTAAGTGCATTTTCTGTGGTAAGAGTTGTAAATATGGGAATTACTGTCCTGGAGGCAATCTCTGTTAAAGCAGCGTAGCTTTACAATTAAAAAAACAAAAGCTGGCTAGTGCTAACCTCTGAGGGAAGCACAGCACCCCCTTAAGCATTACAAACCCCATTTCTGACAAACTGTTGCTAAAACCCTTGCCAGCAACTCTGGTAAAAGGACAATTTACATGGAAATGTCTA